GGGAGGGGGGTGAAGAATTTGGACTGCCCTGCGCCCTTTTTCCTGTTCGATAGTTAATTTTTCTGTTTTCGGCTGATTGTTTATCATCATTCCCGTGGCAAAAGCAATACAACGGGTGGGAATCATGTCCCGATTCATCAGCGGTTGAATTTTCATATTAGAATAAATGATTTGTTCATGTTTTAATTTCTACGCTCACTGAATAAGAGTTAGACTTTAGAGTGGGAATTTCTGGAATTCAATGCTTGTTGATACTCTGGTGAAAGTTCGTGCCGCTGTTATCAATTTTTAGTTAGTTCACACGGTAATTTAATTAATCTGTTGTTCATCTCATCAATATAATTCCGTGCTTAGAATATTGTCATCTCGTGTTTTCAGCACCAAATTAAAAGTTAAAAATTCATTTGGAATATTGAGTCAGCTTTTTTTATTCACATCAGGATTTTCTATTTGGATATTAATATTATTTGCTCAAAGTGAAAAAATCGATCATCATTTTCACTATATTGCATTCAGATTCTCCTATCGTTAACGTAAAAATGTGAGATAATCTCGTAATTCTAGCTATTAATTCTAATCAATTTTGTTCGAAAAAAAACTTAGTAAACGCAATATTAAGAAAGTAGAATTATTCTATTTTCCTCTGAACAAATGATTTGGACAATTATGATTCGTTTATTCATGTTTCATGAATGCTGCTTTATTTAAAAAATTTTAAATTCATTCCAACAAATATCTTTTAGTGGTAATCAATCAATTGTTACATCCACTTCGATGAAAATGTTTAGATTATAATGTAATGATTGTATCATTATATAGAATTTTGAATGAATGAATCCCTAATTAGAATGAAATACACAATTTCCAGCTGATTTCAACAACAAATGTCACATGTCGCTACCATAACCGAATAATTAACAATCCGCATTGAGAAACTAATGATGACCAAAAACACACGCACCTCAAAGGGATATAATGGATTAAGTTGAAAAAAGAAAACGAATATCTTCAGTTTTATCGTACTTAATTGGATGGTGTAAAATGTTAATATTAGCGAGGCACTTGGGTGACTGTGGGACAGTAAAATGACTGGCGAGTGGTCTGAGAGGAGTCCTTTAGTGAGTAACCGGTCGTCAATTATCCTGCCGATGGTAATTGAGTGCAATAAACCACTTGCGGTCATCCCTGAAGAGAAGGACTTTCACCGACGGCCAACAAACGGGGAGAGAGGGAGGCCTTCCTTTTTATTTTTGTCGCGTCGTAAACTTGGTCGTTCTCATCCTTGGGGGATTTAGCAATCAATGGATTGCTGATGATCATTGGGCTACCGAGTATTTGTTGAGGGGGCGGGCAGAGGGGAAATATCCGGGGGACCGACCCAGGCAGTTGATGAGAAGCATAAATCTCGTCATATTTTAAAAATGAGTGATATCAATAATGCTGATAATTTTAATGACGATTCATTATTTATGGACGAATATTATCTCTCATCAGGAGTAATAAATGTTATTAAATTAGTTGGGATTTAGCGAATAGAAAAACCAATGTATTCTGAATTTTTTTTTGCTTAAGAATGGAAGCTTTGTAATCGTTCAAATTTTAGTTTTGGATTTTTCGGGTTATATCGACCCAGTAAGATCCAAAAAGTCCGAAAATGCAATTTTTAAACACAGTTGTTCTTCAATTGGTCGCTAATGAATGGATGGAATAGAATCTTTTTTTTTTTAATATAGGTATTGTTGAGCCCTATCAATCGCCGTTAATTAAAATTTAATTCATCGATAACTGAAAAAATGTTCTGAATTGATTGAATGATGGCGTGAAAAATTTGTTTAGATGTCCTTTTGACCGAGTTCGAAGATGAAGGCGATAGCAATAATCATTATTTTGATTTATTTGAAAATTTGCAAAATTGTTAATTTATTAGCAAAAATAACTGTACTAGATGCAATACAAGCGCCATTTCCCACTTGTTTTTTCATTAATTTGCAACAAATTTGATAACAATAGAAAAAATAAAAAAACATTCATTTAATACAGCCACTTTCATAAATTTCAAACGAGAATTAATAAAAAAATAATATCAATAATGCTGATAATGTTAATATTCATAATGTTTCATTATTTAGAACCCTCAACATCCTGTAAAAAAAAATATTCTCAAATTACTTTAATTTAAAAACAAAAATGTATTCTAATTCTTATAAAATTTTAAACTAAATTCCTTTCACCGGTCGAAAAAAAATAAAAAAATAGAAAAAAAATACAATCCTGCTCTACAATTCTATAATTTCCACCAGATCTAATGTCAAACAATAAACGAGGACGTCTCGATGTCCGAGCTGACATTTTCGAGCGCTCACAGCCCATTAAATCCCGAAAATTGACAGATCCACTGGTGGTCCACATATGTACGCATTTAACAGTTCCATACTCAAAAAAACGAAGAAATATGACGTGATCGTGGGTCAGATGCCTTCCCTTTCCAGTCTGCTGCCGCCTAGATGGCCACCCAAGTGTCCTGTCACCACTTACTCCCAAAACTAAAAACATCACCAGTCCCAATCGGTCCATCGCCCCCTCACCCCTCCGAAATAATCCCCGGAAGAATAAAAAATACCGCGCAATGACCGCATAGACAGAAGACTCCGTGTCAGCAGAACAACCACCGCCCGTCGGACAGTGTAAACATGTTAGAAAACAAAAACTCACGATTATCGAGACTCGGCGATGCGACGAATCCCTTGTTGTTGCATTCCCCATTATTGCCGGATGCATTACCAAGTCCCTGCAGGTGGTAATGCCGAAACGTCGAGCCCCTGGGCGCCATGATGGCCGCGATGCTGAAGTCCGTGGCTTTACCCCTTTCCCCCTTGGTAGACATACCTCATTCACGGATTCAACTCACTGATTCAATAAACCAAAAACAGAGTTCTCGCTCGGTTATCTATTCTATTCCGACTGTTCTCACTCACTCGATCGTCACTCGCGTCAATTCAAGCCCAAAGGGTAAAATAAATAAATAAATGAAAATAAATAAAACACGAGTTCACGGTAAAACGTTCAGTAACACCAGTTGGTTAAAATGCTCTTGATATGTTTCTCACGACGCACCGAAAATGATAAACCCCACGAAAATTCGTTTTAAAATCGTTTTCTCTAGTCATCCGGGGGCACAACGCGTCTGCGCTCACCGACTTCCCGAACTCCACTGACCTCCTACTCCTCCCACGTCAGCTCAGTCCCCCCCACCACCTCCATTGGACCCTCGCGGGGCTTTACTCGGGGCTTGTCCAGCGTATTCGAGCCATTTTCCCCCACCCCTTCGCCGCCGACGGTTCGGCCGCCAGTCGTTGGGTTCACGGAGGTGCGAGACGATGCGCGCGCATCGCTCCGTGAAAGCTCCCACGTTTTTACGGCCGCTGGGGGCGTGGTTGCCGTTTGTTCCATGAATTGTACGTTTGAGTCGAGTCTCTCAGCCAATCGTCTGCTCGCAGTCACTCCTGGGGGGCGGAGTCATGGGGTGACCACTCCGTCACGCCTCCGTGGAAGCAATTGTTTTACGTTTTCAACGGGTGTTTGAACGTCGGGAGAGGTATGGAGTGAGCTGGAGGAGGGAGGAACCTCGGAGACACGTACGACAACATCCGCACGCTTACGAGCGCCGAAAGAGATCGATCGGTTCGGGGGAGGAAACCTCGGAGGAAATGCCCGATGGCTACGTTTTCACGGGTGAAAAAATACTGGGGGAGGGGGCGACAATTTTCGGGCTCTCAAGGAAATCTTTTGGGCTGCGGGGCGGAAGGTAATTGCGGTTGGAACCACAGTTGACGGAATTCAGGAAGATTTTGATGTTGAGAACAGAATTTTTGAAATTACGTGTCAATAACTTTGGGGGAAAATATATTTGAAAAATATATTGAGTTTTTTAGGTTCAGGGAACATTGATGTGTCCATGAGAGACTGAATTTTCAAAATCATTGGGAGAATTGAATATTATGTTTAGTTTGATTTCCGATAGGTTCAGGATTTCAAGCATTTAAGGCCTGAATTCTCAATTATTTCCATTGTTCTTATGAACCTCAGATGTATGAGATCTTCTTCGCGACAGTTCGTCTTGATTTATTTTTTAATGTAAATGGTTCATTGCATAATATTCTACTCTGCATTCAACAAAATATTTTAGATTCATTGATGTGATTTATGGATTTTTACTTCGGTCGCACAATTTTTTAATAGTTAAGAAACCTTGGATAAATTCTTTAGTTCACATGCGAGAGATCCCGAGTTCAAATCTCGGTCGAGTCGACTGGTGATGAGAGAGTGAATTTTCAAAATCATTGGGAGAATTGAATATTATGTTTAGTTTGATTTCCGATAGGTTCAGGATTTCAAGTATTTAAGGGCTGAATTCTCAATTATTTCCATTGTTCTTATGAACCTCAGATGTATGAGATCTTCTTCGCGACGGTTCGTCTTGATTTATTTTTTAAAATAAATAGTTCATTGCATACTATTCTACTCTGCATTCAACAAAATAGTTTAGATTCATTGATGTGATTTATGGATTTTTACTTCGGTCGCACAATTTTTTAATAGTTAAGAAACCTTGGATAAATTCTTTAGTTCACATGCGAGAGATCCCGAGTTCAAATCTCGGTCGAGTCGACTGGTGCAACCAAAAAATTCAAAGTCTTGGTCAGATTTCGTGACTTTTCAAGCCCAGAAAGTAGTCAGACCAAGACCTCCAGCCTCCCTTCACCATCCACTCCCCCATTCCCCCAACTCATCAGCCACCGCATACCCATAATGACCAATAAATAACCCTGAACACCAACACGGGGCTGAACCTTCCAAACGCACTTCCGTTGAACAAACGTAAAGTATCACCCAATCGATTACCAAAGAACGCCAAAAGGCGCCTGAAAAATAGGGGTGGCTCGTTGGCTTTCTATTCCTCCAGTGGTTGTTCGCGTTAAAGGCCCTCGTTCTCTCGCACCCAAAGGTTGCGGGCACCCACGGAGGTCCTCGAGGTGAGCGCGCCTCAGGGGTTGATTTACGGCGTGTGTTTAGGCACTTACCTTCCCCCTCCCCAAAAATTCTCACTCCGTCTCTCTCGGACGAAAGTCCCTTTATTATACTAATTTCTCGGGCATGTCAAAATACCTATCGTACACTCCACTCTCTCTATCCCCCCCCCCTCCCCCCGGGGGCCACTGGGTTATTCAATTCGACACGCTGGGTGCACCCGGGGGATAAAAGACCGTGTCCCCCCGGGGGTTATAAAATATGAAGCTTTTGAGGTTAGTCTTGTTGTCTCCGTTGGACATTTAGGTTAGGGGCCAGGTATACTTGGAGAAGTCAAAAACCGCAAGGTTATAAAACCTAGGGCACCCTTCTCACTTTCCAATGTGCAACGTGTTGCTGATAAAAGGGAAAATAATATAAACGAAAAGGGAGATAAAATTATGGCTGGGATGTACCACTGTTTATTGTCTTGAATTCGCCACGCCTTGGTGTTCTACCAACAATTCAAGGGTTTTATAACACTCGCGCCGCTTGTTTGAATGGAGAGACGCTTCTGGCTAGTTGGAATATGACTCGTGTGCATGACCAGAGTCATGTGAAACTGCAGCGCGAATTGTTCTCCCCTCTTTTGGATACATTGTTGGGGGATAGTGGTGAGGATATGAGGCTATAAACGAGGGAAATTGTTAGTATTATCGGGCAGGGGGGAGGGGGGTGAGGGGTTTATCGGTTTTGATGATGGGCGGCTCCGACGGCTCTATTTCATGCAGTTTGTTGGGGATTCTCGGGGTGGGGGGCGTTGGGGAGGTTTCAGGGAAACAGTCGTGGAAACGTTGGGGGTGAGTTTTTGGGGTTTTTGTTGCTAAATTATGAATGCGGGGACGTTATTTGGGAGGACTTTTTTAGGAAGATTTTGAGCAGGCTATCGTCGGTAGGCGACAATTAATTCGATTAATAATTTTACTGAAAATTTGGTGAAGTTGTAAATTTTTTAGTAGTAGAAAAACGAGAATTTCATGATTTATGTGAATTTTCAATGGAAACATTGATATTTATTGCAAAATTACGCGGGATTTTCAATTAATTGAACATTTGAAAAATGTCTTTCCTGAATTTTTCAGACTTCTACCAATTTTGGTGGAACAATTGAAGTGGAATTTACGATTTCCAGGGATTTTTCCGTAGAATTTTGAATTTTGAATTATGAAATTCTGAAAAATTTTAGTGGAACATGTAATTAAAATTTCAAACATGTGGAGAATCATCGGAAATTGTAGAATTTTTATCAAAAGTGTACACTTCTGGAAAAAAAATTATGAAATTTCAAATTTTGCGAAAACTTTGATGGAATTCTAAATTTGAAAGATGTAGGAGAACAAAAATGATTCAATTGACTCGAATTTTCAATTATAAAATGTTTTGAAATTTCCGTGGAACTGTAACTTGATGAAAATAATAATATTTTCAAGGAATGTGTTCCCATAAATTCCATTAATTATCCGGGATAATTTTTCCAATCAATTTTTTCGTCATTCAGCCCCCACCATTTCCAAAAAATCCCTGCATTCAACCCTCCCAACCAATTCATCAAAATTCCCGTTAAAACTAAAAAAAAACTCGATATCCGCAAACAAGTCACGTAATTTAATAATAAAAAACGCCACGGATCCGGGGAAATTGATAATGCGCCGTCGTTTAAAAAATTGTTTTCACTCTAATTACGGTCAATCGATCACAGTCATGAGATATGAAATCAGTAGGCCTCATCGAATCGATATAAATCCCCACGTCCATCCCCCTGGGGCATCAAGACATCGCCAAGCGCGAGATGAAGAGAAGCCACGGCCAACTCCATATGCAAATTATTGCATCTCTCAGCGAGTCGATGGAGAGTGGGGAGGTAGCAGGGATGGATGTGAAACACGAATATGGGCGGTCGGTGGGGTGGTGGAAAGGTTATATAGAAGGCGATAGAATAGGGTGTGGAGTTACGGAGGTGCGACGGAGCGAAGAGAAGAACAAAGTCATTCATCATCCCCAGCGGAGAAGCCCCGGGTTTATGTAGGTACGAATGAGGTTGAGGATCTCGTTGTGAAACCGGGATAGATAATGTCTCTCACTTGCTCCCTGTCGCTTCTCCATTGAAAAGCTACTGACATTGCACACGGGTGATGGGTGAAAGCATTTGTGGTAGTGAGAGAGGCCACCCACGCCGATCAGTGGCGAACCTTAACACACGTTACGATGCCTTCTGATATCGTGTTACACACGCCTCCGCAATATTCTGTATGTAGATGTTGTTGGATGGAAGTGAGATGGAAATATAATCGAGAATGGTTGACACACCCCTATCGCACGTTCAGTCATTCCCGGTTTTTATCGTAGATTATTGCATGGAAATTTTTCACGAATGAAGAATGTTTTAAGCAAACATTGTTTGATGAAGAGTTGAGCCGAGTTATTTGGAAGTTGTGATTATTCCTTTAGTCTTCAAGTGTTCTTGAATTGTTCATCGATTCATATGCGAAAGGTTCCAAGTTCAAACCCTAGTTGGATCAGTCCTGATGCCACATAATTTTACTTGGAGACGAACGAAGTCTTCAAAAAGACAAATTGCTGTATGCAGATGCTGTTAGATGGAAATAATCGAGAATGGTTGACACAGCCCTATTGCACGTTTAGTCATTCCTAGTTTTTATCGAAGATTATTGCATGGGAATTTTTTACGAATGAAGATTGTTCTTGGGTGATTGTTCTTCAGGTGATGTCTTACAACAGTTCCTAGACTACTCTTGACTTCACATTATGAGGTCTAGCCAGTCAAAGCCTCAATCACTTCAACCTAAAAATCTAAAA